TGTGTCTCTCTGTGCCTCTGTGTGTCTCTCTGTGCCTCTGTGCGTGTGTCTCTCTGTGCCTCTGTGTGTCTCTCTGTACCTCTGTGCGTGTGTCTGTCTGTGCACGCGCCTGCGGGTCCCTGTCTTCAGCTGGGCTGCTGGAATGAAACCGAGGAGCAGTTTTATGAGCAGGGCTTGCAACAGAGGTAACATCCATTAAATAGCAGCAGTGATCCTAATGCAATTGTGGAGTACTCTAGCGCGAGGTCAGACGCTTTTCTCCGCTTTTGAACGCGTGAGAGCTGCCGCTGTGCGTGTTAGTGGTACCGCAAGTGGTTTTGTTCTGGCTTCAAAATGTAGCTAAATGTATAAAACAGCCTGGAAGATAGAGCTGCGGTTTCGTGGAGAAGAACCGGGACCGGGAGCGTGGCGCTGACGGTGTCTGGCGCGAGGTCAGACACGCATTTCTCAACCACCCCCTGCGCGTGCCACGCGTTCCGAGGCGCGGGGTTCGGATCCGCTCGAATCCCGACGCTTAAACTGAGCGACTTCAAGACCCATTCAAACAAGTTAAATAAGGAGACGTTCGATGCACCAAACTAAAAAAAAAAGAATTAAAGTTAAGAACTAAAGAATGGATAGAATTTACAACAGAGTGCGATAACAGCCCAGTGCAGTTCCTGTAGCTCAGTGTAGGAAGTTGGGTTCTTATGTATTGTTATGACCAAAATCACCTGGGGTACGAAAATGCAACAAAATTGAGGACGGTTTAAGGGACAGCAAACTCACATAACCTTAAAAACAGCGCAATTCTGAGCTCAGACTGAGAAGATAACACAGACCTACAGAAGCAGAACGCGTATCAGACACAGTGCTGTGGCGTTTCAAAGCTGTCTTGTGTCAACAGGCTACACAAAATCACACATATCCACATTTGCTCGCTGTCGATTTCAAGTACATTACTGGACAAATAATTAATTACGGCTACATGCTGACATTCTGCCATAAATTCCTAAAGGTTTTGGGTGCTCTTTATGTTTCGTAAACGTGCTGTTTGTCGGCGTGAAGCTGCTTCTGAGCGCCTTACCTGTGTCCCCGGTGCTCCTGCCGCTGTCTGTCGGCGCCTCTCCGTGCTCCGCCGGCCGCCGTGACGCTCCGCCAGAGGCCGGGATCAAGTGCGCTCTGGGGGCGCTGGAGGGTTTGAAAGCTGGGTCTGTGTTTTCCTCGGGCTCTCGCGCTCGGACCCCTGCCTCTCTCTCTCTCTCTGTCTCCTTCAGCTCGCGCTGCCTCTGGTCCCGTGCTCTCTATCACTCCATCCGGGCGCCTGGAACTTTCACTGATGAATGTCAGGCTCGAGCTCTGATTTTTGCTTTTCTAGCAAACGGGACGTGGAGTGGCCCCTCCCATTACAGCCCCCCCTCACCACACACACACACTCTCACCATCCCGCCCTCCACTCTCTCTCTCCCTCAAGCGCTGCCCGGTTCATCTGATGTTACTCACACGCGCGTGGCCGGGCTCGTGGCCAAAGAATGACACTGACCGAACCGTCCCTCTCCTCTAGGCGCGAGAACAGCGTCGCGCCCGTGTCCGGGCGGGAGAGGCGCGGAGCTGCCCCGAGCGGGGTCTGGAGTCCCACCTGCCTATCGAGTGCCTGTCGGGACACTGGCAGCGGGGGGGACAGTCCTGACAAGATCAGAGGACAAGAGGAGCTCGGAAACGTCTTTTCCGCCTGACTTCCGAGTCGGTCCGGTGTAAACCGTCGGTCTGGCCACTGCGCTCCAACTGCAGGAGGTGTTGAAAAGAGTGTACTGGAAAAGATTATTCAACTTTTTTTTTAAAGTGAAGTCTTTAGAGAACGGTGGGGTCAGCCGACAGTACCCCACAGTCCCCATTCCGTCGCGTGAGCCGCACGAGAGTACACAGCCTCGGCCGCGTGTAACAGGATTGTCCCTGTCACGCTGCGACTCATAAATTATTCATGCCTTTATTTTTCACGCGAGAGGCGGTCCACAGAACAGGATAGGGATTGCATTCTTTGTGGACTTTCCGGGCCGCTCGGAAAACTGAGAGTAACATTCCACTACGAAGTTGATTTCAGGTTTTTTTTTTTAAATAACTTTCCCCGTGGCCAGTGTAGCAGACACACCGGCGACTCGCTGGCTTGTCAACAGAGCAGCACGCGGGGGTTCAGGAACCTGCGGACCGCGAGAGAACTGGGCTGCGGGTCCAGATTGCGTACTGAGTTTACGTCAGCAGTCCCGTCCGCTGCAACAGAGTCACAGTGAGCAGCAGTCTAACCTGGCAGACAGTGGGCACAGGGCAGGAAATAAGACGCCACCACCAGCAACAACAACAGCGACGACGACGATAATGAGAATAATCAGTAACAGTTACTAACCTCATGTGGACCGATCTCAGAAGCTCAGGCTGGGATGAAAAGCAGGTGATTGCGGTACGTGGTTCTGGGGGACCAGTAGGGGGCGAACGTTTGATCCCACTGGATCAGGATTTCCAAATCACTGACCAAAGATGGTGACCAGCAGAGACACTGTGCTGTAGGAGCTGCTGTCTGTCTGAATGAAACATTATCATCCGGCCCCGAGGGCTTGGTGATTGAAGATCTCCGGACTGCTGTAGGGGTGTCCTGGATAAACCCCACTCTGCTCCTGCACAGTCTGTCCTCCCTTCACCCCCTGGAGCAGCAGTGTCTCTCTCCTGCCCCGAGCTGCTGTGCAGTGGGGCTGCAGTGTGTCTCCCAGGAGGGGCTGCTCTTCACTGGGAGAGGAAGAGCAGTAAAGTGGGTCCTTTGGGATGAAAGGCACTATATACATGAATAAACATGGAAGACAAATTAGTTATGTAGTGAACGAGTTAGACTCGCATCGCAAGACGAGCACCGTCTTGATCGGATTATCTCAGGCTTTGAATACGTCTGGACTCAGAAAGTCCAGATCTGTGATCGGCTGCGTTT